AATAATAAGCTTACGGCGAGGGATGTATGTAAAAGATGGGTATAAGGTTCACTGGTGTTATGATTTCAAAGAACATGCCAACCTTCAAAACTGGATTTTGGTGAAAAGGCAAAAAGATTTTGCTGGTAAAGTTTGGCAAAATCTGTATTGTCAATTCATTTATATTTACCAAACTTATATTAGAGAATTGGGTTCTTTGTATGTTGTAGAATTTGAATAAGTCAAGACTAGTCTTCTCTTCTTTTTCCCTTTGTTCACATGGTGATTGGGCCAACATGACTACCTGTTAAATCTCATTGAAATGAGTATCTGAATTTAGCAATCCATTTAAGGGAATGAATGACTGAAATTGGAAAGTGGAAAAGATTATGATAATTGGAGTCCTTATATTGTTAAAGTATAACATATCTTAGCTTTAATGAGTATGTTAAATTTAAAAAATTCAATCATAAACTCCATTAATTAATGAAAAAAATTAAATAATATTTCATATATTTTATTATTTACATTTATTAATATTTGTAGTTGATCATTGTTTTGTAGATGATGAGGTGAATGATGATTCGGATGATGATCTTGATGTGCCATTAACTAATCTCGGGACTATGGAATCAAGAGACTCTATCACCCCTACTGTGGGATGAACATTTGTTGCCCTAAGAATGTTTTTAGTTGAATATTGGATTATGTATTTGTTTATTTTAGTTGGTATTTATAGTTTATTGACTTATTTTGTTTGTTTATATGTAATTGTGTATCAGTGATTATGTATTTGTTTATTTTGGTTGGTATTTGTAGTTTTGTATTATATGTTATTGTTTGTTTATTTGTTATTTGTTTATTTTGGTTCCTATTTATTTATATTCTAAATTGAATTGAATTTAGAGTAGTTGATTTAGGGGGTGTAAATGTAAAAAATTAAAACTACAGGAATTTTGGGGGTGTAACTATCATAATTGAAAACTGTTAGGGGTGAAACTGTAAAAACTAAAACCACGGGTCCACCCGTACCCGTATAGGGTTGGGTACGGATCCAATATTTTGGACGCGTATACTTCGACCCGTATTGGGCCCGTACTTGTTTGGTTCGTACCCGTAAAGACCCAACCCGTACCCGGTCTACCCACCTGTTTTGTCAGGTCTAGTCCTTGTTGACGTAAGTTTGCATCAACCTTAATTTCTTAGGCATAACACTCATAAAAGAAAAAAAAAAAAAAGATTGGAAAGAATATATCTTGTCATGATTTTGCACAGGAAATATTTTGTCCAGCCTTTGTTTTGTTTGTTTTTATAGTTCCCATAACTATTTCTAAATCACAATTATATTTGAGTAAAATCTCATTTACTTTCAAATAAAAAACGATTAAAAAAGGAAATAAAATCAAGGATTTGATTTTTGAACAAATTTGTAGTTTATTTTGTTATTTATTAATCATGATTAAATAAATGATAAGTTAAAAAATTAAGATGGAAGATAAATTAAAACTACTAGATAAATAAAAAAGTTAATTTTGAAAAAAAAAACTAAAATTTATTTAAATTTAATTGATTTTGGGCTTAAAAAAATTACTGAGACTTAAACAACACTACTCTCATTAATATCTCCCCACTACTTAATACACAAAATTAATATTTTAGAATAATTTTTAAGCCCTATTTAATACCAAAAACATCCTTAGAGACTAAAAATGATTGGACTGCTAAGTTAGTGTTTTAAAAGATATATATTTTCACTTAATAAACTTTTTTTTTTTTTTTATTGGTTGGTGATTGAGGTGTCCGAACTAACTTTCTTGTTTGATTCTTTATTAAAGAACGTGTTAGTGTCGTTGGGTTTTAATTTTTTTTAACATCTGTTATTTTATTCTTTCTCAATCTTGGTTTTTAATCACGTATTCTAGACATAACTAATTACTACTTCGCCAACTATCATCATGGATAATAAATTTATTCAAGGATAAAATTATATATACACATATACTAGGAGATACTAATAAATTTTTGGTGGAGGCGAAAAATCAACCTTAGGTTCAGATTCAGCTTCAGCTAGTTTCTAAAGCGGGTGTGTTCAGAAGTTTGTACGATGTATTTAACAACTACTAATTTCTAATGAGTGGACACAATTGGGCTTTGTTGCTAGTGGACTTTGGTCATAGGCCCAAGACACTGACATTTGTGTTATAGTTTCATTTCATAATCATCTTTTCTTTATATTTTCTTCTTAAGCTTATTGTTATATTATATTTTTCAAGTTTTTAATAATGAGAAATAATATTCACCCCAATTACTTATCCCAAATTTTAAGTGGATTTTGTCATTATTTTGTTTACATCTTAAAATTTCTATATATTATTTTTTCATGTAAAAGCCTGAAACTATGATTTATTTCTTTTATCTTGTTTGATGTTTTGCTAATTACAAAATGTATGAAATAAAGAGATGTATGATCCATGACATTAATTATGATTCTAAAGTCATAACAATTTTTGGTATTCAATATAGAGACAAATTATGTAAAATAGGTGTCAAAAGATATGTTAAAGTAAAGATTATAAAAACAAACTAATTTAAGGTTCCAGGAAATTTGATGGAAGTTATTAATAAGTCACAATCCAATGATGTTAGGTAGTTTAAAATGAGTCAAATTATATTAAAGTTTTTTGTTGATTCAATAAGATACAAGTATTGTCCACAATATAATTGAAAGTAAGAGAGCAAACCACATATTCCATATGAAGTTTGACGAAATCCTAAGTTGGTATCTTTAGTTGCATTTATTCTAGATTAATACTCTTAGAGTAACAGTAAATTGTTTAATGTAATGGTCAAAGGGTAAAGTGATCATTTTGTAGGAGGTGGCGCATTATAATAGGAGGCAGTGCACTTTAGCGACGTCACCCTCGGCATTTTTCACCATTTTCCAGTGATTCTTCCACTCAAAATCATCTTTGTCACCATCATTCGAACCTCTATCATCTGCTCTACAAAACCTTACCCTTTACCCCATCACCAAACCCCCCCCCCCCCCCCCCCCCCCCCCCCCCCCCCCCCCCCCCCACTTGCCAATTGCCAATTGCCGGCCACGGTAGCTATGTCATGTGACTGTTTTTTGCAAGTTTTCGGTCGTTTTGAGTAGCGACAACCCCAACCACCACCATTTGACTCCTTGTCCCTCCCCCTACAAAACCCATAACCTTCCCAGCCACGATAGCTCACCTTTTTTTGTCCACCACTTCACCAAAAACCATGATGAAACAAACCTCTCAATCGGCGAGCAATGACTAACCGGTTGCTAGGGATAGAGAGGTTTTGTATAGTTGGAGACACTGGTTGCAGTGGTGGTGTTCAACTAGATTTTGACTATCGAAATCACCTAGCAATGCCGGCGATCGGAGGGGTCAATGAGTCAGGAAACGGGGGGGTTTTGGAGTATGGACTATGGGGAATATGATGGAGGTGACAAAGGGGTTCAACGCCGTTGGAAACAACCCATATTGGGCAGAAACTGAGAAGGTGCACAATCGTTGAAGGTGTTATTGAAATAAATTTTGAGGTAAACTGGTTAATTATAATTCAAATAATTTGGGGGTTAAAAAGTAATTTATTTGTTTATTTGTTAAGGGCATTATGGTAATAATACCTTCTACAACCTAAAAATCGCTAATAATGTTACTTTATGGGTGAGAATTTGGAATAAATGTAACCAAATGTATAAACTTAGGATCTCCCCAAATCTAGGGTAGGAACATGTCGTTTGCTCAACGTAAAAACTAAAACAATACAGTAAAACTTCTCTATAGTCATAATTGTAGGATTAATTTATTTTATTACTATGAGGATGTTATAACTTAATAGAGATGTGGTAACATTTTTTTTTTTTTTTAATTCATGTTTTAGTAGTACAATATTAGGATTTCAATTGATGTTTTAATACTATTAAGATTTCAATTCAGTGTTTCAATTGCCTACTTTTGAAACGGATAGAAGACCGTATCTTGAAACCAACAAAGATAAGTGTCTTTGATGGAATTGTAAATGCAGTTGCTGGTCAAATTGATGTGAAGCCACAAACTATTGTCAATTGTTTTAATCATTACAAAATTATGCAGCAAATTGATGTGAAGCCACATAATATTGCCAATTGTTTTAATCATTACAAAATCATGCAACAAATTGATGTGAAGTCATATAATATTGTCAATTGTTTTAATCATTACTAAATTAAGATCCTTAATGTTGATGAATTACAAGTTACAAATAAAGTGGATGAGGAGAATCAAAGAGTCATTATAGAATTTAGTGATTAGATTCGACAACTTCATTACACTAATTGAATAGATATTAATGTCTTTCTCAATCATCCAAATTAGTAATAAGTCATATATGTTTTAACTAAAAAAGAAATCATTACTATAATTAGACAAGAAGATAAAGAAAATAATCATAAGGATGATAGTACGAAAATACAAAAAGTTTTGTGCCAAGAAGCTCTAAACATACTTGAAAAACTAGAGATATTTGGTTTCAACAAAAAGATGCTCATGCTAGTGAGTAATCTATCCACAAATTAAAAGATGTAGTAACAACTCTAAAACGTAAATCATTATTTCAAACAATTTTAGATAAATATTTTATTTCATCTTAAACCTTTAATTTAACATAACATATATTTTTTTGCAATATACTGATAATTATTACTATGTAAAGATAATTTTTCTTAAAACGGAAATTATAAAAATTATAATTTATTATAATATAGAGTTTATTTTTATTTATAACTATCTCAAATTAAGAATTAAATCTTTTATAACTATATAAAATTTATTATTATATAGAATATCACTATGCAAAAATTTTATTGTACAATAAAATGCTTCTAGCCTTCAATTATAACCATCATCCTTTTCGTGTGATACTGCGAAAACAGAGTTTGCAATTTAATCCCTCATATTTCTTGCTTTATTTTTGGCCCATAGTCAAAATATAAATTAACTTAAGACACTCAAATAAAACCCCAAACCCGAAGGCAGAACCACTGATACCAATACGCTTGAGCCCCATCACTCTCGTTATTCAGAAGCCAAGCGGCGACCGAAGTGCCGAGCCGTTACTTCGCGTATTCGTCGTACATTTCCTCTTCAACAAGCATCCAAGGTAAATCGAATTTCTTTTATCAGATTCATAATTTTTTTAATTTCATATAGAAACAATTGCGGTTCATTCATTATCTCTTGTATTGTCTTGTTTTTATCAGATCTGTTCTTGTTACCGGTACCTGATACCCTGATCTTTGAATTATTGTAGTAAGCTTGTATTTATTGCAGTTTTCCATTGATATAGAACTCCAGTTTGTCTCGTGTGGATGAATATGAATTGTACAAGTGAATTGATAAAAATGTTGCTGTTCTGGAGTAATTAACGGCGTGGGTCTTTTTTTTATTTTTGGTGAAATTTATATTGATTTTTTCCTAACTGGGTTACGCTGAATGTTTTTCTCTATCTAAAGCATGAAGTTTTTATGATTAAAAAAGTTGGTTTTTAATGGTTTGATTTGTGGGTGTGGTTTTAGGTTTAAGTTGGAGTTTATGGCATCGAAGTTGCAACAGTTGCAATCCAAGGCATGCCAAGCGACGAAGTTTCTGTCGCAGCATGGGAATGCCTATTATAAGCAGTTGTTGGAGCAGAACAAGCAATATGTTCAGGAGCCCCCCACAGTGGAGAAATGTAACTTGTTGGCGAAACAATTGTTTTACACTCGTCTAGCTAGGTACTTTTTTTTTCTATACCTTTGTTTTTATTGCTTTTGATGTAAATTTTATGTGGATCTTGCAGCAGTTTTGATGATCTTGAAATGGTTCATTTGTATGGGCAGCATTCGTATTAGGATATAGCTATATGATTTCCTCTGATTTAATTTTATAAGACTATTTGGTAATATACAGAATGTGATATGCCCAGCTCGTGATTAATTTTAATTTACTTAGTTGATTGGCAATGTTTAGAAGTGATAGCTTGTACAGTTCCTGATTATTTCATACTTATCATGTGGGCTTTTTACTTTTACTTTCATAATAAAATTTCATTCAGAACTCATCTAGGTGTTTAAATATTTTTGTGCATTAATTTTTCATTCTTTGCTTCTAGCTTTTTATTGTGGCACAGAGGTATGTGTATGCATGTGTCATTTTTGCTTAGTTATGTATAGCTTGACTTCATTTTAAAGCTTCAGTCAGCTTGGATTGTGTTACTGTGTTTTGTCAACATATTAAACACCTACCAATTTGTTTCTGTTAGCACATGTTTGCTAAAGTAATGAAGTGGTGTTTAAACCCGGTTGAAGGAATTTATAAAAGGTGTCTTATCAAAACACAGAGAGAGAGAGAGAGAGAGAGAGAGAGAGAGAGAGTAAGTCTGTTTGGACAAGACTTTGAACTTAAGTTCAAGGAAATATGAAGTGAATAGGATTGTAGCTAATTTGCTTGTGGGAAGAGCAAAAGAAGTAAAACATGCATGTAAATCAATTCCAGAACAAAAAGGTTAGTTTCACATATGTGAGGGTTTTTTTTTTTTTTTTTTTTTTCTTCGTGTTTCATGAGAATTGGATGATGATAAGTATGTGATTCTGTTGGTCAATCTGAAATTGTTTTTTATTATGCTATGTAAAACTATTATTGACATTTTGCTTAATAAGATCTTCAGTGTTCTAGGTTTAGAAATTAGCATACCAAGCACAACTGATTATATTGTATCTGTGTTTGAAACTCTGCCTTTTGATTTGCATATATCTCATACATGCTTCCTGGCTCATTTTAACTTGATAGTATTCCTGGACGTCGTGAGGCATTCTGGAAGGAAGTTGATTATATGAAGAATTTATGGAAGAACAGGCAGGATGTGAAGGTTGAGGATGCCGGCATTGCTGCTTTATTTGGACTGGAGTGCTTTGCATGGTTTTGTGCTGGTGAGATTGTTGGAAGGGGATTCACTTTCACTGGTTACTATGTCTGAGGTCAATTAGTTGGTAAAATGTTTTTCAAGGAAAAGAATATGTAAGCTTCGCATACCATTCGTGATTGAATCACTGCTACTCTACATGCAATTTTTGTTGTTTCTTCAAAATTTTTGAAGCTGAGAAATCAGTGGGTAACTTTGGTAGCGTCAATAATTTTGTATTTGAAGTGACTTGCGTTAACAAACCTTGCTGTTGTTTTATCTTCATCAGAAACTGCTACGACTACCCATGATTGATGATAAAGGGTGCAAGTTGTTGAGGAGTTTCCTCTTTCACTCCAATCACTTGACTAATCATCTATTTCTCTTTAATACAATTGGCTTGATCAAAGTCGATGTAGATTTACGTAGCTTATATTATAACATTTTTATTTGAATTTGCCTTCCGCTTCAATGGATGAGAGCTTCAGAGTAACAGAGGACAATCATTGTTCGATTTGTATAAATTCAGGCACAGGAGTTGCAGATACTTCTGCAAAGAAGATGAATAACACTAACATTCTTTCAGGGTCATATTGCTCTGTGATTCTAATTAAGATTAAAGAAAGAATCACTTTAACTCATCTTTGGTTCTGTTAAGAGCCCACTAAGCACGCTATTCATTAAAACTACTGATTGCCTTTCCTATCCTAAATTTGAGGCACTATTCTTTGTGCGCTTTGCCCTCAATTTTGTTTTAAAATTGTAAGACGTGTCATTTCTTGTTCCCTAGTCCAATTCCATCTGGGCCGTCCATAGAGGCTCCGAAACTCCCAATCCAAAGGAAGGGCTCTTTAGTAATTCCATTTCCATCGTTGGCCAATCAGAACAGACGGAATACGGACGCGACGCGAAATCATATGGTATCCGCAGTCGTTTCATATCAGAGAGACTTTGGCACTTGGCTGGAGTAAATTGAGGGACGGAAGAATGCTGCGTGGTGCGGTCCGCCCCGTTCTGACGCGTGTCGTCGCAGTATTCGCTTTCATCTTCATCTTCTCCGTTGTCTTATCCGAGTGTGCCAAAAATGATTCGCAGGTAACTCAAAATTCTCCGTCTTCCAGTTTGGTTGCCAAGAAAACATAGGAAACAAAATAAAGATCAAAATCACATTTGTTGGATCCACAATCTAAATTTGAACTATTGGCTGACAGGTGAAATGCAGCAGAACTTGCGTTGCACAGAATTGTAATTGTAAGCCTTATTTTATTTTCGTTGTAATTGTTTATGTATTTGTGGCTAATATTTTCTAATACATCTTTTTCCCATAAATTATAGCGGTTGGGATTCGGTACGGGAAGTACTGTGGTGTAGGGTGGACGGGGTGTCCTGGAGAGAAACCATGTGACGATCTGGATGCTTGTTGCAAGATCCACGATGAGTGCGTCGAGAAAAAAGGTACTATTACATCTACATGCATAGGCTATTAAGCAATTCGTGATCATGGTCTTGTGTGGCTTTAATGAGCCTCTAAATCAGTTAAGTGCTTCCTTTCAATTAATATGTATTGTCTTCAGCTGTTTTCAGGATAGGGACTAGTGATTTCAAATTGGGCTGGTTAATTATATTCTGCAATAATTTTTTTTTTTTTTTTATATAGCTTCTAGATGTGAAAAACAAATTAAATTGCGTTTGATGATGTTGATTCACAGCTGTCGAAACTGACCAACAAAACAGCATTGGACTTTCATTTCAGAAGTTCTTTGGATCATTTTGTTTTTTCTACTCTTAAGCCAAAAGTATATAGATAAAACTTGGCAGTTGTCAGTTATGCAAATAATGTAGAAATGTGACAGTGTGGGTGAATTATATTGTCAATCATGTTCATATACTATGTATACAAAAACATTGATTACAATGGATTAAATCATTCAACATTTGACTATAGACAACCGATATAAATATATATATATATATATATTTTTTTTTTTTTTGTAGAATGTATTTGGGAGTACTTTTGTAGGAGGGTTTTGAAAAGCACCCATCTTTTTTCTTTTCTTTTTTTTCTTTAAATCCGAGCATTTTCTCTGAAAGTACAAATAAGTTTCTTCTTCAAAAAGGATTTGAAAGTCTTTTTGGTCATGAAAAACATTTTTATCTATATTAGCTGAAATTACAAGACGGACTAAAATAGGCTTTTTTTTAATATTGAAATTTAATGTTTGTCATATGGCAAAAGTACTCCCAAACACACATTTATTGTCGATATATTATTTTTTTCATTAGAATTCAATTTTTCCGTCATCTTGACTTGATGAATGACTATGGCTGGATACTATCAAAAAACAAAGAACTATGGCTAGAAAGATCACACTTCTGATGATTCTGTTGTTTCTTTTACAAGTTCTCTGACTAGTATTATTGGTAATCTTAGGTATGACTAACATTAAATGCCATCAGAAGTTCAAGACATGCATAAAGAAAGTACAGAAATCTGGGAACACCGGATTTTCTCGGGATTGTCCCTACGACACAGCAGTGCCCACTATGGTACAGGGTATGGATATGGCCATTTTACTGAGCCAATTAGGTAACTCAAGGTTTGAGCTGTAACTAGTGAATTTTAGAAAGATTGTTGAAACATGGTTCCTGTATCATTCATCGTTTATGTCATGCATTCATTTGCATGGAAATGGATTGTTGCACAATTTTATATAGGTGCAGGCATCCTCTATAATATTGTATTGTTTACTTAGCTTTGAAATAAATCAATATCAGTTCTTATTTGTATTCAGAATTCTGGAATTGGAATTCTTTTAAAGCATAAGTGTTTATTCTGTATGAGCAAGAGCTAATGATTTCGTACATCACTCATCAGTAATCAATGTTCCTCCATGGAAAGCTTTTTCTGTTGATCTTAATGCAGAAAGCAAGTAGAACGCTTGCTTCTTTAGTGGATCCCTGAGATATTTTTACTCAAAATCTAGGAACTGAAATGATACAATAAATAGGAGGCCCTTTTTTTCAACAGTTGGCAACCCCAAATGAAATTGCCTTATACTGTTGGTTTTGATGCCGACCAGTTGTTTTCTTGAGAAGACCTTGTTTGCTGCCGGATGCTTCTTGGTATCTCATATTTTTCTTCTGGGTTAAGTCATTCTAATCTAGTTTGTAAATTCTGCCATTTATCTAAACATTGCACTGATGACGTTGACAGAATTTTGTGTTATAAATTTAAATAAAGAATTAATATTATAGCAGCCTAATCTTTTTATTTTCGTTAGGTTATAAAGCAGTTCAACTTAATGATTCCTTTTTTAACACAGCAGTCCAACCTAATGCTTCCTTTTTTTAACATGGAATTTTTTTTTTTTCATTTGTGCGAGGATGATGATTGTATTAGGAATTTCCAGTTTCCTCCCTCTTGAAAACCATTGGTATGAACCAAAAGAAATAAAGGTCTCCCATTTTGTTCGTTACGTGGCAGACTTGAAATTGCAGCAATTCCTGGAAAAAGAAAATTACCTCACCAGTCGGACCATCATGGCAATATGTCGAATATTTCTTTTGATTTAGTAAATATATTTTGTAGTCATTTAAATTGATCCCTTTCTAGAATAAGAAGTAAAGTTGACACGTAAGCGTTTTCTACACCTGGCAATCGATCTTTCTTTACAAAATTAACACGTGCAAATATGTAATACAGACGCGTGGAAAACTTTGGTTAAACTACAAAAAGAATATGTATGAAAACTATTATCATGGTAGAAGAGAATTCAGATTTTAGGATGTTGCAATGGGATAAAGTCAATATCTTAATGTGAAGGTTCACCAACCATAAACTGAAGCACGTCCAATTCTATCATCATTGACGTAACGGTTAATTGCTCAGCATTACCCATTGAATTGAAATGTGATGATTCCTCTTCAAAAGTAGAAACATAAGTGAATAGAACAATAAAAATGAAATGAACCTTAAAAATGGAGAGTTAGAGAAACATCTGTGTTTAAACTTTAAATAAATAAAAAAAATGGAAACTTTAAATTAATAAATATATATACACACACACGTAATAATTTATGTATAAACAAATTAAATTATTTTATAAAAAACCTAAATCTTAAAATTACATTTCACGCGCAAATCTTAAAATCAGTTTTAATTGTTACTTATGATGATTAAAGCATTATAATTGTGATAATAATATTATACTTTCAATTTTATATTTTGATTTTTGTTATTAACAATTGAATTTTTATTTATTGTATTATATCATCGTTTATATAGTAATTTAAAATTGTTGGCATATGATTTCAGAACAGTCTTATTCTAATCTCTCATGTTTATAAATAAGTTTTCAAGTTATTTCTTATAAATTAAACCTAAAATCTCTCATGCCATGTTTACTTCACTGATTGGCAAGGGAATGGGCGGTGGAATGTCCATTCCCTTGTTTACTTATACATTTCTTTGGGGGAATACAATTTCTCCCAAATTTAGGAGGAATCGACATTCCATTGGTGGGGGAATGAGAAAATTACTTCCTTGCCCTTGTTTTAATGTTTTATTTTAATTTATTTTTTCCAATTTTATACTTAAAGTAATTTATTTAAATTTTAATTATTTTATAATTTAATAATGATTTAAATTATAGTATTAATAATAAAAATAGTAAAATACGTTTTGACCCACCACTTCAACCAAAATAGGTAAGCGAAGGCTATCGTTGTCACCGCCAACATGACATTGTCAAAATCACGTTGAATCATCACTGCTAACTTGTACGGAATCGGTTGCTAATGATTTGTCAATTTGGGCAAGTTCCGGCTGCCGAAGATAGCTAGATTAGCGTTAAGTACATGACTATTTCTACCTACAAGTACACATGACATCAATCTAGCAACATTCGGCGGCCGATACTTGCCCAAATAGGTAGATCGTTGGCCATTGGTCTTGCACGTGCCGATGGTGTTGCTTCCGACGTGAAGGAAAGTCGTTGGCCAACGTTATATATATTTTTTAAATATGGTAATTGTAGACGTAAAAATCTACCTGTACAGAAGGGGGGGTCTGATCCCGTGAGGTTGAGGCCACCATCGATCCGCTGCACCTGCACATGTAGAGAAACACATGCGTGAAGCGAACGGGAAACATCGGGGTGGTGTTTGCCGTAGGCACTCCGACGCTCAAGTCAGCAAGGCTGAGAGAGGCTAATATAGTGAGGGCTAGGGAGTAGAGATTACCGGAAGTCTAGTCGGGGACTGTGACTACGGCGGTGATGTGAAGCTCTCAAGCTTTCAGTGTGAAGGTGTAATGTAATCTGTCTTGTGAGAGGGCTGGCCTTTGCTTATATAATGACTGTCTGGTCTCCCAATCCTGGCAGAAGTAGGAGTCCTAGTGTGAACTCTGATGCAAACCCTAGAAGAATTAGGGCCGTGGTAAGCTGTCTTACCAGTGTCTGGATAAGAAGGTGATTCTGATTAGAAGAGTAACTCTGAGTAGGAAAGTGATCAGGAATAGGAAGATGACCTTGAATGGGAGATTGATCAGGAGTAGGAAAGTATTCTGATGGGGCTATGGGCTCTGGATTCGCCCATGGACCTAGGAAATGGACTGGGATTAGGAGGCTCGTGCCCACGTGGTTTGGGTCGGCTATATCTTGTACCGAAAGGGCCTAATCCGGTTGGGTCATATAGGGATTGGGCTTGGTTTCTTCTTCAGTATCGGGCCCGTTTTCCTATTTGGGCCAAGGAAGATTTTTGGCCTAACAGTAATCGTCCACCGTTTAGTATAACTCGAATTTAAGATTGGGGAGACACTTTTAACCATGTGTCCCTCTTGTAAGAAAACATAGATTAAAGAAATTGCACAAATAGAATATTGGAGGAAATCATCTCAATATTGAATAACAAACTTTGCTGTTAAATAGCCTTACAGAGAACTAAAATAAAAACTGAACTCAATAAAATAGCCCACGTTTCATAACTGCTATAACGTGTTAGAAAGACTAAATCAACAAGCAATAGACATCCCGACATAAAAGGAAAATACATACGTGGTTATAAGTAACCACTTAGATAATACACTAAACATAAATCAACATTTCCTCCCTTAAACTGAATGCTGCAAGCTTCAGTTTACATCAGTTTCAGAACAGGTTCCCAACTGTTCTCGCAGCTTGACAAAAGTGTTTTGCTTAAGTGGTTTTGTCATTATGTCAGCCAACTGGTCTTGTGTATCACAGTGTATCAATTCCACAGTTCCATCCTTTGTAATATCTCGAAGAAAATGAAAATGCACATCAATGTGTTTGCTTCGATCATGCATCACTGGATTCTTTGAGAGCTTGATAGCAGAGCTGCTATCACACTGAATAATACATGTCTTGCCTTGATTTTGATCCAGCTTTCTTAGCACCCTTTTTAACCAAACTGCCTGACATGCACATGAGGTTGCAGCGATGAACTCTGCCTCTGTGGTGGATAAACTCACTACAGGTTGTTTTTTGGATGACCAAGAAATTGCCCCTAAACTCAATGGGAAAACATAACCTGAAGTGCTCTTTCGATCTTCTAAATCTCCAGCATAATCACTGTCAGTATAGCCAATAAGTTCATCATCTCCTCCCTTCCTATAGAAGATCCCAAAATCAAAAGTTCCTCTTAGATATCGCATCACTCTTTTTGTTGTCTGCATGTGTAATACAGTAGGATTCTCCATATGCCTACTAATCATACTTACTACAAACATTAAGTCTGGTCGTGTAGTAGTGAGATACATGAGACTCCCTATAATCTGCTTATAGTAAGTCTTATCAACTTTAACTCATTCTTCATCTTTCCCAAGTTTACAGCCAAGAACAATAGGATTGAAAACAAAATTGCTCTTATCGATCCCAAACTTGTGCAGTATTTCCAAAGCATATTTCTTTTGACAAATAAAAATACCATTAGACTTTTGCAACACCTCAAGGCCAAGGAAATACCTCATCTTGCCAAGATCAGTCATATCAAACTCATGCTTCATTGAACGTTTAAACTCTTCAAACATTGATTCATCATTTCCAGTAAAGACTAGATCATCCACATACAAGCTTACAATCAAGACTTTACCTTCCTTGTTGACTTTGATGAACAAAGTGTGCTCATAATCACATTTTTCAAAGACTTTTTTCATGAAGTAAGCTTCTATATGACTGTACCAAGCACGGGGTGCTTGTTTAAGTCCATAAAGTGCTTTCTTAGCTTGTAAACTTTTTGCTCACTTCCTTTCTGTACATAACCGCAAGGCTATTCTAAAAAACTTCTTCATTCAATTCACCATGTAGAAAGGTAGATTTCATTTCTAGTTGATAAATAGACCACCCTCTTTGAGCTGCAAGTGCTACTACCAAACAAGTTGTCTCCATTCGTGCCACAGGTGCAAAAACTTCAGTATAGTCTACTCCATATTGCTGTGTAGATCCCTTTGCGACAAGCCGAGCTTTGTGATTTTCTATTTCGCCATTTTCATTCAACTTAGTCTTATACACCCAGTTTACTCCAATTGTCTTTCCTCCCTTAGGTAGTTCTGTTAATTCCCAAGTCTCATTTCTGTTTATTGCTTCCATTTCAACATCCATGGCTATCCTCCTTTTTTCACTCTTTACAGCTTCTTTAAAATGAATGGGATCAGTAGCATTAAACATGGCAAGTTCCCCTTCATTTTCTTCATCAGAAAGTCCCTTTCCTGTTTCATAATTTCTCACCCAAACAGGTGTTCTTTGATTTCTAGTTGCACTTGAGTTTTTAGGGCTCTCTATGTTCTGAATTAAAGAACCTATCCCAGTAACTGTAGCATTAGCATCAACTGCACTGTCTAGTGAATTGCCTTCTACATCAGGATCAGAATAAGTTTCACTTCTTTCCTCATTCTCGGTTACTTCTTCTTCACAATCACCCCATTCTAAATCACATGTAGTGACTTCCTCATACTTCTTATCCTAATCCCAGTTCTTGTCTTCCTCAAATACAACATCCCTACTGATTATGACTTTTTGTGAAACAGGATCATACAATCTATAAGCCTTTGATTCTTCACTAACTCCCAATAAAACACAACTGAAATGCTTATTATCGAGTTTAGTTCTTTTATTGTCAGGTACATGGACATGAGAAATACATCGAAACACTCCAAAATAATCAACTGGAGGCTTAATTTTACTCTAAGTTTCTTTTGGAGTCTTGTTTAACATTGAAAAAGTGGGACTTCGATTCAAAACATGTACAGTCCAATTAACTGCTTCAGGCCAGAAGGACTTCGGAATTCTCTTTTTTGAAAGCATACTTCTAACCATGTTCATAATTGTTCTATTCTTCCGTTCCAAAACTCCATTATGTTGTGGTGTATATGCAGCTGTTAACTGTCTCCGTATACCATTTTTATCACAAAAATTGGTAAATTCGTGGGATGTAAACTCGCCTCCTCGATCAGTGTGTAGACTTCTCAACGAAAAACAAGAAACCATAACTTTATGGTGACAAAAAAATCAGGGAGAAATTAGCTAGATGCCAGAGTGAGAGGGGTTATGTAGAGGGAAATGGAGATACCAGAGGTTCAAATGATGGTGACAGATATAATTTTTGTCACTATAATTGACTTTGTGTAGTAACAAAATATTAACTTTGGGTAGAAAAGTGGTATTTTGAAACTTTTTGGGTGGAAAAGTGTTATTAAGGAAAACCTTGGGTGGAAAAAAGTGGTTTACTCTTTAAAACATCTTATAAAGGACAGGTTCCACCCAAGGTTTGGCATATTTACAAGTTCCTACCACAGTTTCATAAATTCCAAATTTCCACTCTTAAATTAACAGAAAATCATTTAATGTAATGGTTAAAGAGTAAATTGGTCATTTCTACCGCATTAAATATGAAATAAAAATTTCAAAAATAACCTTTCATATCTCAAAATCGACAAAGTGCCACCATTGTCGACAACGGTGGTAGCTGTTTGGAGTTGATTCTGGTCGATTTTCTCACCAAAGTCGACAAAAATCATCACTTTATCATTTCCTAAATATTTCCTAGCCTTGATAGCCCTCGATTCAACCGATTTTTGTCAATTTTCGCAACCCAACTCCATCACACGTGATAGCCTTGGTCTATACCTGGTGTCATTGACTTTCCCTGACACCACCATCTTCCTCCCTCAGCCCTTAGACCAAAACCCCTATGACATCTCACCAGTTTACTCTGTCAATCACTGGTCACTACTGCCTTTTGGTCTGCGACTTCTCAAGCTTTTTCTAGTCAATCATGGCATCGGAAATAACCCCCGTCACTACCCATCGTTTCTCCGGCATCTGCTCTCCAAAACTACCCACCAACCTGACCTTGTTAGCTTGCCAATCACTATCCACCTCTCCCCAGGGTTTCATTTTTTAATAAAAATTGAAGATGAGCGTATTGTTGAAAATTATTTGAAATAAGATGATTTTTCTAATTCTACTAATTTGGGGGTTAAATAGTAATTCATTAATTTATTTGTTAAAGGTAGTATGGTAATAGCACTTTATATACTATGTTGAAACCCAAAAATCACTAACGGTGTTAATTTAAGGGTGAGAATCTAAAATTTATGAAACTATAGGTGGGAACTGTAGATTCACCAAACCTTGGGAATGTTATAATATTACATAGTAGACATACTGAATGCCTTCGTAGAATATCATGTGATGGTATTAGTGTGGGTGATTATAAAAGTTATATTACTAGGGCATTAGAATGGATAAGCGGTTAGTGAACTGTTTATCGAATATGGTCATTTATGATGAATCACATGGATATTTAAAATGTAGTCAATGATACATCATAAAATCGTACTAGTGTATTATTAATCCTTAAACCTAAGATATCACGGTTGGATTCTGCATAAAAGCATATAGTTCATTTGGTGTATAAACACGAGACTAATCATGTTATGTGTTAATAAGCAGATTTGGCCATGTGTTGATTATGTGTGAGGACAAGTGATAGTCAAGATGGGATTTGTTGACTTGGTATAGATTGATATCAAGTTCCTAGACAAATGTCAACATATATTAGTAAAGGGAAATCTCCGGCTGGGATATATAAAATGTTACCTGAAAGGTTGTTTCATGGTGACACATTTCATATGTATTGATTGTCAATTTGATATAAAATTAAAATAAGGATTTTGACATACCATGAATCCATTTTTAATTGGGATTAGACAACGGAAGGATTTGATTATACAGCGCTTATGATTATAAAAGAGTTCGTTGAAGTATATTTTCATTGTGACTTAGGGGTTATGAAGCATTGCTAGATGCCTACCATAATTAGTGGGAGTTTTGTTCATAAAGAGTTATGACAAAACATATCGGAATAAACTATGATATTGGACCTACAGCTAGGCCACAGTGAACCTAAGAGGTTACATATAAAAACTAAGGAGAATGAAGAAATAGCCAAAAAGAGTTGATTATCCAAAGTTGGCTAGCACTAATCAAGAGTAATAAAATTATTTATATTATTATCATTGAATTAGATTCAATGGAAGGTTATATTAGTTATTATGAATAATTTAAGAGTTAAAATACTAATTGGAATTAAATGGAATTCTAATTCATAATTAATTATTTTCTTTATATTAAATTGAATTTAACAATGGGTTGTAATTGTAAATATATGAACAATTTAAGAGTTAAATTGTTAAGTAAACAATTTAAAAGTTAAATTGTTAATTGTGATTAAATGTTAATCCAATGTTATTATTTAAAGAAGTTTAACAACTTAATAATAATTATGGAATTATTTACAACTTCAAATCAATTATGAAATTATTTAAGGAAGCCCAAAACAATTATTGAATTATTTACAAAGCTACATATATAAAGAAAATGATATATCAATTTTGAGATAGAGATCAAAATTTCTAGGAACCCTAAATGTCTTTCTTGGCCTAATTCTTCTTTTACCTTAGTGTGGATATTCTTTTGTTTAATTTCTCTTGAAATTTAAAGTCTCCAAGGTTGCTAAAGACTTAAGGTAACAAGTTATACCTTACTTGTTTTCAATTTGATTTTTTTTTTTTTGGGCAAAATAGGAATATATATGTTATAGTATCATATGCATCATTCTCCATGCATTCCATCTTTCACACCTCTCGTTAGGGTTTCATTTTTTAATAAAAATTGAAGAAGAGCGTATTGCTGAAAAATATTTGAAAGTAAGATGATTTTTCTAATTCTACTAATTTGGGGGTTAAAAGTAATTTATTAATTAATTTATTAAAGGTAGTATGGTAATAGCACTTTATATACTGTGTCAAAACCAAAAAATACTAACTATGTTAATTTAAGGGTGTGAACAGAATTTATAAAACTATAGGTGGGAACTTGTAATTCATCAAACCTTGGGTATGCTATATTATTTATATATTTATATTATGAAATTGACAAGATAGTACTACCGCTTTGACAATTACAAGGAGACATGATTTAAATGTTTAAAATGACAGGTGGATAGAAACTTCCAATGGTAGACCACACGTGTCGACAGGGGCGACCAATAACGGTAAGACAGAAAGCAGAAACAACGAAGAGGACAAAGACGGAAGGAAGGAAGGGGGTAATTTGGTCATCACAATGTATCGAAAAGTCAGTCTATGATTTAATTAATTAATTTATGTCCATGTAGCTTCACGAATCAGACTTTGACTTATACCCGTTTTACAATGTTAATGTAAATAAGTCCCTCTTCCTATTTTGGAATTGGATTCGTGGGTTTCCTGGATAATGTTAAATTACATCACATGATTTAACCATTACTTCGCTTGTAAGATCCCTTTTTATTTTATTTTTATCGATCACTCAATCGGACAAATCTATATCACATCTTCATATTAGATTTTTATTTTTCTTTCACGAAATAGAAAGCTCAAGACTTTTTCTTCACGGTTACCTCATACTTCAAGTATTAGCGAAGAGAGTGATCGGAATTTTTGCGTTAGTTTGTTGTGAAGCGCAATGCTTCACCGGAGTTTCAAGCCTGCCAAATGGTAATTCTATTGTTCATTTATCGGGTTTAATAGGAAATTCAAATTCTCCTGTTCGATTCATGAATTTGGGACTTCTGTGTGATAATAGCTTGATTTTCGATTTTTTTTTTTTGATAAATTTTGATTTGGTTATGCAGCAAAACAGCTTTGAAGCTTGCGGCATCACGTATAAGGCTATTGAAGAATAAAAGAGGAGCGCAGGTGAAGCAGCTGAAGAGAGAATTGGCTCAATTGCTGGAGTCTGGCCAGGACCAGACTGCCAGAATTCGGGTACTTATTCTTTATTATTATTTTTGGATCTTTCTTTTAATCTCATTAAGTGTTTGGTTTATTTATTCAAATGGATTTTTAATACAATTAATTGTCTTTTTTTTTCTTGTTTTGGTTGATTATTCCAATAATTGGGCCAATTAGTCTATAATCCTGTTACGAGAATTCAGTTTTGGTTTTAACTTGAAGCAAGTGAATGCATCACATATCATTTGCTTTTATGAGGCTTAGACACTGTTTCTTTACTGTGATGAGGAAATTTGAATATAATTCTTTGGCTTTTTATTGGTTGTCTTTGTTAATATGTTCTTGGTGGTCAGATAAAGAGTACTGACTATTTGGCTGATATTTTTTTTTATCCAATTTTGTGTCTCAGGTAGAACATGTGGTGAGAGAAGAGAAAACAATGGCAGCATATGATCTCCTTGAGATTTACTGTGAACTTATTGTGGCCCGCTTGCCGATCATTGAGTCACAGAAGTATGTAATAGTGTCTGATTTTTTGTTGTTCAATGTTAATTTTCACATACAAACACATATGGGTCAGGGAGAAATTGTACCATATTTGCTGAATTTTGAACAAATAGAAGAGGTTGCATATTTGACATTGGAGCTGAATGGTATGGTTCATGTCTGATGCAAAGGAAAACTTCATGTGTAATGTGATCATGTGACTGACCATTCTCACAGATGTACACCCGCATTATTCAGCTTTACTCTTTCAAATGGAGAATTAAGTTATACTCTCTAAATTTAGATATCTGGCATAAAGTTGACTTGGAAAGCTATGAGATGAGAGATTTATCTTTGGGGTGTACTGGCAGGATTTGTCATAAAAAAATGCCCCTAAGCTTTTGTTTGGGAATTTATTTGGTGCTGCAGACAAACTAGTCCATTTTGATATAAAGTTTTATTTGTCATAAGAAATTCACAATTTTTGACCTGCCTCTTATTTTTTCAGAAACTGCCCCATTGACTTGAAGGAAGCAATTTCAAGTGTAATGTTTGCATCTCCAAGATGTGCTGACTTACCTGAACTCATGGATGTACGTAAGCATTTTACAGCCAAATATGGAAAAGAGTTTGTCGCTACTTCTGTTGAACTACGTCCAGATTGTGGTGTAAGTCGCCTGGTAAGTTTTCACAGGATGCATAGCTCGATGATAGCTGAAATTAATAAAATCAATTTGTGCCATTTCCAGAAGTATGCTAGTTAGATGTTATTAAAGACAGCACTTTATCATTAGTCATTAGTTTTATCTTATTATTTTTGCAGTTGGTTGAGAAATTGTCTGCGAAATCACCTGATGGTCCAACGAAGATTAAAATTTTAAGTGCAATTGCGGAGGAACATAACATTAAATGGAATCCTGAATCATTTGGAGAGAAAGATTCAAAACCTGCTGAAGACTTGCTGGTAAAAATAAATTCAGTCCACGTCTTTATTGCTTGACATTAGTTTTGAGGAGACCTCTAGAGTTAGTGAACATTAAATTGCAAAGTGGCCATATTTTGATTTTAATGCATATATTTGTTTCTTAACAAGTATCCTTCTTGAATGAATTTATTTGAGCAGAATGGGCCAAATACTTTTGACAAGGTCAGTAAAATGCCAATGGATCCTTATGTTCAAGCTCCACATAGTCATGATGAAAAAGGACCCTCAAATGTCCATGTTCCACCTAAGAGCAATGAAAATCATGACGTGCCTGGAAACTTTCAAGAGTACAATGCAAGGTCATCGGGTCACTCCCATTACCATACAGATAGTGATGCCACTAAGGCAAAGTGGTCTGCTGCTTCTCATCCGGAACTGAGGCCTACAGGTTAGTGAAGTACTTTTTTAATACGCCATGTTTAAATTTATCCATTTTCTTGTCCATAATCATTAACTATGGTCTTTTCTAAGTAACAGGATCTAGTAATCAAGGGATGGAATTTAGGCAGCCGTATTCTGGAAATGGAAATATTTTTTCCCCTGGTAGCCAAAATTGGAATATGGAATTCAAGGACGCTACTGCTGCTGCACAGGCAGCTGCTGAATCTGCAGAAAGAGCAAGTATGGCTGCCAGAGCAGCTGCAGAACTTTCAAGCCGTGGGCATGACTCATGGCACTACTCAGCAGAGTCACAAAGAGATAAAGAGCCTCGAACATTTTATCACTCAACTAGTGAACATCATGCAAAAGGTCCCATAAATAATGCCCTTGATAGAAGAAATTCTAGGGCAGATTATGAACAAATGCCCAGCAATCAGCAAGATGATATGGCAGGAATTGCTGATAAATTTCACAAAGACAGTTTCAAGAGCATCAATAAATCTAGCCAATCTGCTTCATTGAAGTCCAGTGCAGCCTCTGTTGATGGTAACCCATTGGTGAATAATCTCCAAATGGCTGATCGATATTCTCGAAAAAACTCATCTGAAATTGAGCAGAGTGACCTTTTAGGTCAAGTTAGCTTAGAGAAACAGTCTAGCAATTCGGAGGTAGAATTAATGAATAAATTACAAGACAATGTGAATTTTAAGAGTGTTGATGAGTTTGAAGAAATAAAGGTCAGAAAGCAATCTAGCCGTGCCTCCTCTCATTCTCGTTCAAGCACATTTAGTGATGATCATGATGTTGTATCAAGTTTAGGGGGTGATGCTGACGAGAACCCTTTTGCTATTAATGACAAAGGAGTTGCTCAAAGAAACTCTAATAAAATAAGTTCTGATGAAAATGCTGCTGTGGTCTTTGATGATTATGATTCAGATGAGATTGAATACAAAATTGATTTAGATGGTGAGCGCAAGGGAGATGAACATAGTTTGAATTTCTCATCTCCCAGTAAAACAATGCCTACTCATGTGTTTTCAAATACGAATGCTTGGAGTGATAGGGAAAATATTGATGAGCCCTGGAGGAAATCTACTCCACAATCCCGTTTCTCAATGGAGCACCACTCTGATTCTGTGTTTTCTGAGAGTATGACTAGTACAACAGTTCCTTCACAACCAGATAACGTGTTGTCTGCAACTTTTGATGATTCAGATGGTCCAACTTCAGAAAGTGAAGAGGATCTTGATAAGTCTAAGCTTGTTAGGAACACAGATACAAGTAAACATAATGTTTTCACCAGAACTTCTGAGGTGACCCTCAATGAGAGTCCTGGGTTTATGGATTCTTCTTTTGCAGATAAGGGAGAGGTGGAGTCTGGCCACCCATGGGTAAAGCCATCTTTTGATGTGACACCAGTGGAAGTTCACTCTGGTAGAAACCAAGGAATCAGACTCAATGCTGAATCGGCAAGGAAGTCTGGTTATGGTGATGTGTCCACCAGTCAGTCATCTCCCAGAGTGGCAACATCCCAAGTGGATTTTAATGATAGGGGTGATGATTCATACAACCACTCATTTGATGAGGGGAAGCACCAGCAATCTCAACGACCTTCAAGATTTTCAATAGGACAAGAAGTCAAGGACAATGCTCCCATACCACAGCGAGCCAAACCCATGGAACCTACTGAACCTTCAAATGAGTCTAGTCTGGAAAGTCAAAACGAGTTGAAGCTTGAAAATTTGACTGGTGGTTTGAGAAATAAGGGTTATAAGCGTCCGCCATATATAATGAGCTCATCAGGCAATGCTTCATCACCTAAACAGACAGCCAAGGATACTTCCACAATTAAGGAATCACTTTCTGCAACTGTCAGGGGTTCAATTAATCCTGAAGGCATCAAACGAGATCCATACAATAGGGAAGTGAATGAAGAAGCAGCTGAAAAACCGAGCACTAGATCACATTTTGGTTCTCGTGGTGATGATTCAGATGATGAGCTACCGCAGCACACTTCTGCAAGCAGTAAAGAGCGATACAATAATAAAGCTGGGATTGGAGAAAATAAAAAGTCAAGCTCAAGGAACCAGGTTAGATATTTTGATACTGATGATAGTGATTCTGATGATGATACTCCTAATCAAGCTTTGACGAGCAAAACTCGTATAAACACTGGACTTTCTCAAAGGACAAAAGCCTCTCCTTTAAACTCTGAGAAAACTACAGTTACTTCAGTGGCATCGGTAACTCTGGACTATGGTGAAGAAAGGAATTCTCCTTCATGGAATTTGTATAGTAATGAAACCAGACAAAAGCCCCCATCTCAGAACAAGAGCTCAGGTCGCTTAGGAAGTTCTGAGCGGACTAGGTTGGCAGAACAAGAAGCTTATAAACCAATTCCAGAATCAAAGAGAACATCATCTGAGGAAAGTTTGAGGTCATCAGCAAAGGAACAGCCATCATATTCTCTTCCAAAGAAGGTAACAACAGGTACCGCTGAAAGTTTGAAGACCTCAAGTTCTAGTGTGGAGAGTCCATCTAAGGAGAAAGCTAGTCATGTTCACCCAAAGCTTCCAGATTATGAAATTTGAACAAATAGAAGAGGTGCATATTGACATTGGAGCTGAATGGTATGGTTCATGTCTGATGCAAAGGAAAACTTCATGTGTAATGATCATGTGACTGACCATTCTCACAGATGTACACCCGTATTATTCAGCTTTACTCTTTCAAATGGAGAATTAAGATATACTCTCTAAATTTAGATATCTGGCATAAGTTGACTTGGAAAGCTATGAATGAGAGACTTATCTTTGGGGTGTACTGGCAGGATTTGTCATAAAAAAATGCCCCTAAGCTTTTGTTTGGAATTTATTTGGTGCTGCAGACAAACTAGTCCATTCCATTTTGATGTAAAGTTTTATTTGTCATAAGAAATTCACAATTTTTGACCTGCCTCTTATTTTTTCAGAAACTGCCCCATTGACGAAGGAAGCAATTTCAAGTGTAATGTTTGCATCTCCAAGATGTGCTGACTTACCTGAACTCATGGATGTACGTAAGCATTTTACAGCCAAATATGGAAAAGAGTTTGTCGCTACTGCGTTGAACTACGTCCAGATTGTGGTGTAAGTCGCCTGGTAAGTTTCCAGGATGCATAGCGTGATAGCTGAAATTAATAAAATCAATTTGTGCCTTTCCAGAAGTATGCTAGTTAGATGTTATAAAGACAGCACTTATCATAGTCATTAGTTTTATCTTATTTATTTTGCAGTTGGTTGAGAAATTGTCTGCGAAATCACTGATGGTCCAACGAAGATTAAAATTTTAAGTGCAATTGCGGAGGAACATAACATTAAATGGAATCCTGAATCATTTGGAGAGAAAGATTCAAAACCTGCTGAAGACTTGCTGGTAAAATAATAGTCCACGTCTTTATTGCTTGACATTAGTTTTGAGGAGACCTCTAGAGTTAGTGAACATTAAATTGCAAAGTGGCCATATTTTGATTTTAATGCATATATTTGTTTCTTAACAAGTATCCTTCTTGAATGAATTTATTTGAGCAGAATGGGCCAAATACTTTTGACAAGGTCAGTAAATGCCAATGGACCTTATGTTCAAGCTCCACATAGTCATGATGAAAAAGGACCCTCAAATGTCCATGTTCCACCTAAGAGCAATGAAAATCATGACGTGCCTGGAAACTTTCAAGAGTACAATGCAAGGTCATCGGGTCACTCCCATTACCATAACAGATAGTGATGCCACTAAGGCAAAGTGGTCTGCTGCTTCTCATCAGAACCGAGGCCTACAGGTTAGTGAATTACTTTTCTAGTACACCATGTTTAAATTTATCCATTTTCTTGTCCATATCATTAACTATGGTCTTTTTATAACAATTATTTTATAGGATGCACAGGAATAAAAATAGAGACGAGAATGAGAATAAAAATATGTGGACCTCAGTTATTTACGGTCACCTAAATTAAAAATGTCTTATAAAGGACATGTTCTCGACCAAGGTTTGGCAGATTTACAAGTCCCCACCCATGGTCTCATAAATTCTAGAATCTCACCTTTAAATTAACAAAAAATTATTTAACATAATGGCCAAAGAGTAAATTAATCATTTATACCGCGTTAAATTTGAAATAAAAATTAACATTTTAAAATAACCTTTCATATCTCAAAATTGACAAAGTGTCACTATCGCCACCAGCGGTGGTGGTGACAGGTTGGAGCTGATTTTGGTCAATTTTCTCTATCAAAACTAACAAAAATAATCAGCTTATCATTTTCCAAGTGTTTCACAACTTTGATAGCCCTTGATTTGACTAATTTTTGCCGATTCTTGCCACCCAACTCCACCACGCGCGACAACTATTTTCGGCCTATACCTGATGTCGTTGGCCTTCCTCAACACCACCATCTTCCTCCCTCAGTCCTTAGACCAAAACCTCTATGACACCTCACTTGTTTACTTTGTCAATCATCGGCCACTACCACCTTTGTCTGTGACTTCTCAAGCTTTTTCCAGTCAATCCTAACATTGGAAATAACCCTCGTCACCACCTATCACTTCTTCGACATCTACTCTCCAAAACCACCCACCAACCTGACCTTGTTAGCCCATCAGTCGTTGTCCACCTCTCCTTAGGGTTTCGGTTTTTTTTATAAGAATTGAAGAAAATAGTGTTATTGAAAAATATTTGAAAGTAAGATGATTTTTTCTAATTCTATTAATTTGAAGGTTAAAAAAATAATTTATTTGTTAAGGGCAACATGGTAATAGTAGTTTATATACTGTGTTAGAATCCAAAAATTACTAACATTATTAATTTAAGGGTGAGAATATAAAATTTGTGAAACTAGAGGTAGGAAACGTAGATTCACCCAAGTATCGGTAGATGTCGTTACTCTATGAAACTATGGGTATGAAATTGACAATATAAATATACTGCCGCTGTAACTATTACAAGGAGGCACGATTTTAATGTTTAAAATGACAGGTGGATAGAAACTTCCAATCGTAGACCACACGTGTCGACAGGGCTGACCAATAACCGCAAGACAGAAAGCAGAGACAACGAAAAGGACAAAGACGGAAGGAAGGAAGGGGGTAATTTAGTCATCACAATGTATCGAAAAGTCAGTCTATGATTTAATTAATTAATTTATGTCCATGTAGCTTCACGAATCAGACTTTGACTTATACCCGTTTTACAATGTTAATGTAAATAAGTCCCTCTTCCTATTTTGGAATTGGATTCGTGGGTTTCCTGGATAATGTTAAATTACATCACATGATTTAACCATTACTTCGCTTGTAAGATCCCTTTTTATTTTATTTTTATCGATCACTCAATCGGACAAATCTATATCACATCTTCATATTAGATTTTTATTTTTCTTTCACGAAATAGAAAGCTCAAGACTTTTTCTTCACGGTTACCTCATACTTCAAGTATTAGCGAAGAGAGTGATCGGAATTTTTGCGTTAGTTTGTTGTGAAGCGCAATGCTTCACCGGAGTTTCAAGCCTGCCAAATGGTAATTCTATTGTTCATTTATCGGGTTTAATAGGAAATTCAAATTCTCCTGTTCGATTCATGAATTTGGGACTTCTGTGTGATAATAGCTTGATTTTCGATTTTTTTTTTTTGATAAATTTTGATTTGGTTATGCAGCAAAACAGCTTTGAAGCTTGCGGCATCACGTATAAGGCTATTGAAGAATAAAAGAGGAGCGCAGGTGAAGCAGCTGAAGAGAGAATTGGCTCAATTGCTGGAGTCTGGCCAGGACCAGACTGCCAGAATTCGGGTACTTATTCCTTATTATTATTTTTGGATCTTTCTTTTAATCTCATTAAGTGTTTGGTTTATTTATTCAAATGGATTTTTAATACAATTAATTGTCTTTTTTTTTCTTGTTTTGGTTGATTATTCCAATAATTGGGCCAATTAGTCTATAATCCTGTTACGAGCATTCAGTTTTGGTTTTAACTTGAAGCAAGTGAATGCATCACATATCATTTGCTTTTATGAGGCTTAGACACTGTTTCTTTACTGTGATGAGGAAATTTGAATATCATTCTTTGGCTTTTTATTGGTTGTCTTTGTTAATATGTTCTTGGTGGTCAGATAAAGAGTACTGACTATTTGGCTGATATTTTTTTTTATCCAATTTTGTGTCTCAGGTAGAACATGTGGTGAGAGAAGAGAAAACAATGGCAGCATATGATCTCCTTGAGATTTACTGTGAACTTATTGTGGCCCGCTTGCCGATCATTGAGTCACAGAAGTATGTAATAGTGTCTGATTTTTTGTTGTTCAATGTTAATTTTCACATACAAACACATATGGGTCAGGGAGAAATTGTACCATATTTGCTGAATTTTGAACAAATAGAAGAGGTTGCATATTTGACATTGGAGCTGAATGGTATGGTTCATGTCTGATGCAAAGGAAAACTTCATGTGTAATGTGATCATGTGACTGACCATTCTCACAGATGTACACCCGCATTATTCAGCTTTACTCTTTCAAATGGAGAATTAAGTTATACTCTCTAAATTTAGATATCTGGCATAAAGTTGACTTGGAAAGCTATGAGATGAGAGATTTATCTTTGGGGTGTACTGGCAGGATTTGTCATAAAAAAATGCCCCTAAGCTTTTGTTTGGGAATTTATTTGGTGCTGCAGACAAACTAGTCCATTTTGATATAAAGTTTTATTTGTCATAAGAAATTCACAATTTTTGACCTGCCTCTTATTTTTTCAGAAACTGCCCCATTGACTTGAAGGAAGCAATTTCAAGTGTAATGTTTGCATCTCCAAGATGTGCTGACTTACCTGAACTCATGGATGTACGTAAGCATTTTACAGCCAAATATGGAAAAGAGTTTGTCGCTACTTCTGTTGAACTACGTCCAGATTGTGGTGTAAGTCGCCTGGTAAGTTTTCACAGGATGCATAGCTCGATGATAGCTGAAATTAATAAAATCAATTTGTGCCATTTCCAGAAGTATGCTAGTTAGATGTTATTAAAGACAGCACTTTATCATTAGTCATTAGTTTTATCTTATTATTTTTGCAGTTGGTTGAGAAATTGTCTGCGAAATCACCTGATGGTCCAACGAAGATTAAAATTTTAAGTGCAATTGCGGAGGAACATAACATTAAATGGAATCCTGAATCATTTGGAGAGAAAGATTCAAAACCTGCTGAAGACTTGCTGGTAAAAATAAATTCAGTCCACGTCTTTATTGCTTGACATTAGTTTTGAGGAGACCTCTAGAGTTAGTGAACATTAAATTGCAAAGTGGCCATATTTTGATTTTAATGCATATATTTGTTTCTTAACAAGTATCCTTCTTGAATGAATTTATTTGAGCAGAATGGGCCAAATACTTTTGACAAGGTCAGTAAAATGCCAATGGATCCTTATGTTCAAGCTCCACATAGTCATGATGAAAAAGGACCCTCAAATGTCCATGTTCCACCTAAGAGCAATGAAAATCATGACGTGCCTGGAAACTTTCAAGAGTACAATGCAAGGTCATCGGGTCACTCCCATTACCATACAGATAGTGATGCCACTAAGGCAAAGTGGTCTGCTGCTTCTCATCCGGAACTGAGGCCTACAGGTTAGTGAAGTACTTTTTTAATACGCCATGTTTAAATTTATCCATTTTCTTGTCCATAATCATTAACTATGGTCTTTTCTAAGTAACAGGATCTAGTAATCAAGGGATGGAATTTAGGCAGCCGTATTCTGGAAATGGAAATATTTTTTCCCCTGGTAGCCAAAATTGGAATATGGAATTCAAGGACGCTACTGCTGCTGCACAGGCAGCTGCTGAATCTGCAGAAAGAGCAAGTATGGCTGCCAGAGCAGCTGCAGAACTTTCAAGCCGTGGGCATGACTCATGGCACTACTCAGCAGAGTCACAAAGAGATAAAGAGCCTCGAACATTTTATCACTCAACTAGTGAACATCATGCAAAAGGTCCCATAAATAATGCCCTTGATAGAAGAAATTCTAGGGCAGATTATGAACAAATGCCCAGCAATCAGCAAGATGATATGGCAGGAATTGCTGATAAATTTCACAAAGACAGTTTCAAGAGCATCAATAAATCTAGCCAATCTGCTTCATTGAAGTCCAGTGCAGCCTCTGTTGATGGTAACCCATTGGTGAATAATCTCCAAATGGCTGATCGATATTCTCGAAAAAACTCATCTGAAATTGAGCAGAGTGACCTTTTAGGTCAAGTTAGCTTAGAGAAACAGTCTAGCAATTCGGAGGTAGAATTAATGAATAAATTACAAGACAATGTGAATTTTAAGAGTGTTGATGAGTTTGAAGAAATAAAGGTCAGAAAGCAATCTAGCCGTGCCTCCTCTCATTCTCGTTCAAGCACATTTAGTGATGATCATGATGTTGTATCAAGTTTAGGGGGTGATGCTGACGAGAACCCTTTTGCTATTAATGACAAAGGAGTTGCTCAAAGAAACTCTAATAAAATAAGTTCTGATGAAAATGCTGCTGTGGTCTTTGATGATTATGATTCAGATGAGATTGAATACAAAATTGATTTAGATGGTGAGCGCAAGGGAGATGAACATAGTTTGAATTTCTCATCTCCCAGTAAAACAATGCCTACTCATGTGTTTTCAAATACGAATGCTTGGAGTGATAGGGAAAATATTGATGAGCCCTGGAGGAAATCTACTCCACAATCCCGTTTCTCAATGGAGCACCACTCTGATTCTGTGTTTTCTGAGAGTATGACTAGTACAACAGTTCCTTCACAACCAGATAACGTGTTGTCTGCAACTTTTGATGATTCAGATGGTCCAACTTCAGAAAGTGAAGAGGATCTTGATAAGTCTAAGCTTGTTAGGAACACAGATACAAGTAAACATAATGTTTTCACCAGAACTTCTGAGGTGACCCTCAATGAGAGTCCTGGGTTTATGGATTCTTCTTTTGCAGATAAGGGAGAGGTGGAGTCTGGCCACCCATGGGTAAAGCCATCTTTTGATGTGACACCAGTGGAAGTTCACTCTGGTAGAAACCAAGGAATCAGACTCAATGCTGAATCGGCAAGGAAGTCTGGTTATGGTGATGTGTCCACCAGTCAGTCATCTCCCAGAGTGGCAACATCCCAAGTGGATTTTAATGATAGGGGTGATGATTCATACAACCACTCATTTGATGAGGGGAAGCACCAGCAATCTCAACGACCTTCAAGATTTTCAATAGGACAAGAAGTCAAGGACAATGCTCCCATACCACAGCGAGCCAAACCCATGGAACCTACTGAACCTTCAAATGAGTCTAGTCTGGAAAGTCAAAACGAGTTGAAGCTTGAAAATTTGACTGGTGGTTTGAGAAATAAGGGTTATAAGCGTCCGCCATATATAATGAGCTCATCAGGCAATGCTTCATCACCTAAACAGACAGCCAAGGATACTTCCACAATTAAGGAATCACTTTCTGCAACTGTCAGGGGTTCAATTAATCCTGAAGGCATCAAACGAGATCCATACAATAGGGAAGTGAATGAAGAAGCAGCTGAAAAACCGAGCACTAGATCACATTTTGGTTCTCGTGGTGATGATTCAGATGATGAGCTACCGCAGCACACTTCTGCAAGCAGTAAAGAGCGATACAATAATAAAGCTGGGATTGGAGAAAATAAAAAGTCAAGCTCAAGGAACCAGGTTAGATATTTTGATACTGATGATAGTGATTCTGATGATGATACTCCTAATCAAGCTTTGACGAGCAAAACTCGTATAAACACTGGACTTTCTCAAAGGACAAAAGCCTCTCCTTTAAACTCTGAGAAAACTACAGTTACTTCAGTGGCATCGGTAACTCTGGACTATGGTGAAGAAAGGAATTCTCCTTCATGGAATTTGTATAGTAATGAAACCAGACAAAAGCCCCCATCTCAGAACAAGAGCTCAGGTCGCTTAGGAAGTTCTGAGCGGACTAGGTTGGCAGAACAAGCAGCTTATAAACCAATTCCAGAATCTAAGAGACCATCATCTGAGGAAAGTTTGAGGTCATCAGCAAAGGAACAGCCATCATATTCTCTTCCAAAGAAGGTAACAACAGGTACCGCTGAAAGTTTGAAGACCTCAAGTTCTAGTGTGGAGAGTCCATCTAAGGAGAAAGCTAGTCATGTTCACCCAAAGCTTCCAGATTATGAAACATTAACTGCACACTTACAGTCTCTCCGAAAAAATCGCCAGTAAATGTACTTATGTTCTTATAAAAATATAGGTTATTTTGATATGATGTTCATGTTGGTTTTTTCATTTTATACTGTATACATTATATAATTTGACTGATGGATGATGATGCAAGAGGCGAATAACGTTTGATTGGAATCTGTAATTTATCTGTCTTTCCGAATCGAGTCTATTTGTTCTATGTGCCTGTAAAGCCAAAATTGAGGTAATGTTTGTTACAACATTTGCTACAATGAAATAAACAAGCTTGTTTGGGGACATCGGAGATTGAAGCTATGGAATAGGCTGCTTTACCTGATGTTCTGTCGCTTTTCTGGCTTAAGTTGTTCAGGGTAAAGTATCTTTCTGTTATTATGATACTATGAAGAGAATAAGAAAATAAATTCTGGCGTTCAACATGAATTGACTGTCGTTGAGTGCATCAGAATGAGGTCATTACACGGGAAAAAACTTGTGGATGCACGTACAACCAATTGATAGTGTGCATGTCCATCACAACCAATGACATAAATCACTTTTATTGGTCGGTAGTATGTGTATCTATTGTATTTATTAGTTGATAGTATGTATATCTGTTGCATGAAAAGATTATCTGGGGGAGATATATTCTCTATTGCGGCACAGTTAGAGGTTTGAGGAGTCTTTTTGAACGATGCGGTAGCAGTTGTGTAATTTGTAATTGGATTGATGCGGCTGGCTAAAAACTGGTAATGTAGGATCCCATGGTATAACTCCAAGACTTTCGATCATTCTTCTAAATGATTATGATCGTGCTTAGGAAAATGCTAAGCAATTTTCTTTTTTAAATTGTGAAAAATGATGAGAATTATTCATTGTATTTTGTGTAACTCGGTATTAAAAAAGAAAAAACTAAATTATCAAACTAACTGCTGCTTAAATCAAAGTGCAAGCTTTATTCATTCAAAGGGTTTCTATTGAAGTACATAAACATTAAGAATTCTACAATGATAAGTGACAAAAGTAATTTTACTGAAATGAGAGATTAAATAATTTATCAAAATATTTGATTAGATAAACACTGAAAACACCTTATATTATATACCAATTTGACCTGTTTAACATATTTCCTCAGACTTACAATAACATCATCCATTAGATATATATAGTATCAATAATAAAGTACAGAAGAAACGGAAAGAAAAGTGAGTAGTTTGACNTTTTAAATTGTGAAAAATGATGAGAATTATTCATTGTATTTTGTGTAACTCGGTATTAAAAAAGAAATAACTAAATTATCAAACTAACTGCTGCTTAAATCAAAGTGCAAGCTTTATTCATTCAAGGGTTTTTATTGAAGTATAGAAACATTAAGAATTCTACAATGATAAGTGACAAAAGTAATTTTACTGAAATGAGAGATTAATTAATATATCAAAATATTTGGTTAGATAAACACTGAAAACACCTTATATTATATACCAATTTGACCTGTTTAACATATTTCCTCAGACTTACAATAACATCATCCATTAGATATATATAGTATCAATAATAAAGTACAGAAGAAACGGAAAGAAAAGTGAGTAGTTTTACAGAATTGCTTAGAGGAGGTATTTATATTTTACAGAGCAAAATCCGTAGACTAACCTCCCTGTTGCACCAATCGCATTTGTCACCGTTAACACAAATGAAGTGTACTTCTTCCCTTGTGGTCGGATGACAAATCTTTTAATCACTGGAGTTAATTATATAAGACGATTTTAATCACTGGAGTTAATTATATAAGACGAGCCAAAAAAAAAAAAAAAAGATTGTATGACATTTTATTATTGACAAAAATACATTTTTTTTATGAGTTTCATATTAATTGTTGCAAATACTAGTTCCATTTACTATGTACCGCTCCTATGAGAGACATTAATTAATTAATGTGGTGAATTAAATAAAAAGTAATTTCATGAGTTTCATATTAATTGTTGCAAATACTAATTCCATTTTATAACTGCCATTAATGCTTTAAATTTGCGTTCTTGATTATAAATGTGTAAGGTGATCATAAATTACAGCTTTAATTTTCTTGGAGGTAACTGTTTGTCTGCATCTTAACCTTAAATCACTTCATAAAAATGGTTTTAATTAAACTCTGAGAGAGAGTCTATGATACAAATGCTCTATAAGAGCCTCTGTCAGCAAATGTTAATCAAGAAAAAAATCCAGCTGATTGAGATTGAGAGATGGAGAAAGTTAAAAAGCACGCACCAAGTCCTTGTAAAGGATTACTGCAAACTGAAGAGCTATACCGAGTATCATCAAATTCTCTTGGTTTTTTTTTTGAGTTTTACCATTTTTCTAATATTGTGGCAGTATATTCTGGAAACGAGTGTGTACCCACGAGAACCGAACCAGAGCCGGTGAAGGAGATTAGAGATGTAACTGCTGGCCATCCAATGTATTTCTTCTTTTTATATTTACTGTAATAATAATGCCACTAAATATTAGCAATTAATGGAGACTTTTTTAATGCATTCTTATACACATCATTGTGCTTGGTTAATTAATTTGCAGGGCTATGATGAGTACTGCACCGGATGCAGGTCAGCTCATAGCCATACTCTTGAAGCTAGTTAATCCCAAGAAAACAATCGAAATTAGGGTTTTCACTGGATATTCTCTTCTTTACACTTCTCTCAACATTCCTGACGAGGCTAAGGTAAGTAATCTATGTACTTTGTATGGAAAATGAAATCTAACTCTATATGAATGGCACGCATAAATAATTGCAGATCATCGCCATTGATCCAGATCGTGAAGCATATGAGATAGGTTTAACGGTGATTCAAAAAGCCAGAGTTGATCACAAGATAGAGTTCATGGAACCAGAGGGTCTGGCAGCGCTTGATCAGTTACTAGAAAATGTAATAAAACAAGAAAGAAGTTATTAATGTTTTTGCCAAAATAAAACACTGATCATGCTGTAGAATTAATGGAAGTGCAGATTGAAAATGAAGGGAAATTTGATTATGCATACGTGGATGCGGACAAGGCTAATTACTGGAATTACCATGAGAAGTTGATGAAATTGTTGAAGGTGGGTGGGGTATGCCTTTATGACAACACGCTGAGGGCCGGAACAGTTGCAATGGCGGAAGAGGAGGCTCCCAAGTTACTAAAAGCAGAGAGAAAAACAACTTTCGAATTCAACAAATCACTGGCGGGTGATCCTCGGGTTCAACTTTCTCATGTCATCTCAATCTGCAGGCGTATTTACTGAAACTTCCCAACATCTTAATGATAAGGCTCTGTTCAACTTCCCTACATTGTTCCATTGCCATCATCAACTCAACTGAGATTGGAAATTGGAAACAAAATAATACCAGTGATAATAAGGTTGGTTTACACTTCTGTTGAAAGTTTCATTAAACCACGCCATTGTCTTTGTCCATGACAATCTCAGATTGGCTAGGATTTCTTATAATTAATAAATACATAAATTACAAGGTTGTACTGAAATTCAGATCTTCAAATTTTGTTTTGGGATTGATTTTTAAAATTTCAAGTGTTGTTTTTTTTTTTGTGAATTAAACTTTATACCAATTTTACATGATTTTGTATCTAATTCTGTCGATATTGTAACTAGACAAATAAATGCATTAAATGCTTGAAATAAAAGGGAAACATAAGAATAATTTTCTATAATGTTAGTTCAAGAAATAAAACCAATGGTAGTCCCCAAAAAAAAAAAAAAAAACATACAAAGTATTATCAGTATCTCTAATGTGAGGACCAATTAATTAATAAATAATAATTAATAATTTTTTCTTTTTTTTTTTTTTTTGTTATCAGGGGTGTCTGAGCCAATTGTGCGCACTTCAATAATTTCGGAACCCTAAAGTTAACAGCTTGGTAAATCCCTTTATTAGTGTTGGGAGATTATAACTCAAAAACCCATGTTAGATCTCTTTGTCTTTTACCATAAAGCACCCAATGGTGGTTAGTTAGAGTATATGCATAGGAAGAAGTAATAGAGTTGCTCTTATCTAGTTGATAGTTCAGGATAGTCATTAAAGCTCTTACTGGTCGATAGTTCAAGGTTTCGGAGATTAGTTGATATGATATAAGTTGGTTCAGACACCCCAACATTAAAAAAAAAAAAAAAAAAAAAAGCTAAAAAAACAATAATTTTTTATATTAAGTAGATTACTTACTGTGGTGCTATTCATAGGAAGAAGTAATAGAAGCTTATGGAAATTGGCTTGCCGCCGATAAATCTAGTCACATCACATGGTCTTGCATTATTTATCGTTTCCTTGTTTACGTAAATTTCGGAGTTGGGTTTTGATATTATTGGTGATTTTGACCATAATTGGATTTGGAATTATGAACAAGAAGATATTCATTGAATGTTTCTAAGATTCTGCAAATATGATTTCCCTTATATTCCCTAACGATAATCTTATATTAAATTGGAATCTGAATGGTGATAAGAAAGTAACTCTCAACTTGGTCAAACGCTATACATAAAAGCAAAGTTCATATTCTTGATTGTAATTAAGCTCTTTTCTCTCTGAAAATTTTTGTGTCAAGTTCAAGTAGATTGAGAACGGAGATGGAGAAAGCCACAAACTCCCAATCATATATTCGTCAATATTTGCTGCAAAGTGAAGAGTTATACAAGGTATCATCCAACTCTCCATTTTTAATACATATTTTTTTCTCATTTTCTTGGTTGAACTTGTTCATCTGATCATTTTCTAACATTGTGGGTGTGGCAGTATATCCTAGAGACCAGCGTTTACCCTCGAGAACCAGAGCCTCTCAAGGAGATAAGGGATGTTACGGCCAGCCATCCATAGTATTTATTCTTTTCTATATACACTCTCTCATCATTAAAAAACAAAAAAAAAATGATGATCAAAATCTATGTAAATAAATTAGAATAGAATCTTTACAGATAGGCCTATAAGAAATAGTCTGTAATCATGGATGGAGCCACTTGTACCCGTCTAATATCTGTTCCAACATTAGCACCCAATTATTTTATTTTCCTAAGTAGCCTAAAACCCTAACATTGTCACCGCTTTTGTTTTTTTTTTGTATTCTCAAATCTCAAATATATTTAAATTTTGTTTCTTTTAACGTATTAAAAAGTCGATCAGGTAAGAAGAATAGTTTTCAAAATTTGCAATTAAGATTTTTATATGTTTACAATTGTTAATTTGCAGTGCTAGGATGGGTACTACACCAGATTCAGGTCAGTTAATAGCCTTGCTCTTGAAGCTAATTGATCCCAAGAAAACAATCGAAATTGGGGTTTTTACAGGATATTCTCTTCTCCTCACTGCTCTTACCATTTCGGAGAATAGTAAGGCAAGTAATCTGTCTACACAAAAAAGGTTGTACTATTGAATGAAAAACTAAATGCATAGTATTTTTGTTGTTGTAATTGCAGATTGTGGCCATTGATATGGATCGTAAAGCATATGAGATAGGATTGCCCGTGATTAAAAAAGCTGGAGTTGATCACAAGATAGAGTTCATAGAATCGGAGGCTCTTCCATTTCTTGATCAGTTACTACAAGATGTAAAGACTAAAACATTTCATTTTATAAACTCAGTGCGGTGTGTTTCATCTAATTCCAGAATCTATTGCTATTGCAGAGTAGAAATGAAGGGAGTTTTGAGTACGCTTACGTGGATGCGGACAAGGATAATTACTGGAAATACCATGAGAAGTTAATGAAATTGTTGAAGATTGGAGGGGTAGCCGTATACGATAATACGCTCTGGAAAGCAACAGTTGCAATGGCTGAGGAGCAGGTTCCAGAGCGGCTAAGACCAGCCAGGCAGGCTGCTTTGGAGACCAACAAATTACTTGCGGCTGATCCTCGTGTCCAACTTTCTCATGTCCCTGTAGGTGATGGCCTCACTATTTGCAGGCGTATTTCCTGAACTCCACGTCTTTGCTTAGTCGGTGGCCTAGAATAAAACTTCGATGATATCTCAATGTATTACATAAAAATTTTATATTTATATTAATTGTCTCATAAATAAATTACACACAGTGTGCTTTTATGTGCAAAAACCTGTTGTAATTCCACATGTTATTTCATTATAAATTGTTAAGGTCTGCAAAACTTCCTAGTAATATAGCATAGGAATGAAAGAAGAGTGCATGGTTGTAAACTAGCTAGGAATTCTAGTATTTTAAAGCCATATCAATTAAAATAACTGGACTGCGATGCTACTTATTTTGTATTTTGATATAACATTAGTGGCTCAAAGCTTCTGCATCCAACTACAGAATAGGTGTTGTGAAATTTGAACATAAGAAAATAGAGGCAAGATAGTTGATGAAAAGAAAATGTTTAGCATGTATAAAGAAGCTACGAGTACTCTTGTAAGTTACAACATCTGAAACTGCAATAAAATAAATGGTATGCAAGAATATCAATTTCCTTTTTCAAGAGTGGCATCCTCCTTAAATTTAGCCCCTTAAAATAATTTTAAGTTAATTATAGAGTTATAAGACAAGCAATTAGCCAAATAATAGCTTCATGAGGATTAGTAATGGTGCAGTATGATATATAAATCTTCATTCAGACGAAACTTCAAATTAACACCCAGTGTTACCGCACTGCATCATCCTTGAGGCAAAAGTTTCAGCGACCAGCAGAGGAAAAGCAATAGTTGCATCACAATGCACCTGGTTAATGGTTAAATTCAGTAAGTGTTGGAAAAGAATCAGTATCATATATTTGGTTTTGTTGCAAATCCTATTAAACACTAGTAGAAGAACTTGTATTAGCAAGATAAAATAACATGCAACTGTGGACTGGACGTTGCATATAGTATGCTGCAAGCTATCCGATTAAAGTAATACCTTCACTGTCTTAGCAGAGCCCCGAATTTTTCCCCATGAAACAGCCTCATCAGGATGAGCTCCAGAATCACTACCATCAAACTCTTGAGCTGTATTGATGAAGACAGCATAATCAGCACCATTACGCATCATATTGGCATTGCAAATATGATGCTTAGGCAGTCCACCTCCTAAAATTATCATCCCTGTTTTCCTAGGACTTGCATGGACAGCTTCACCATTCATGGCCCTGATATCTGTTTGAAATAGGTAGTTGTTTATAGATAAAAAAAACCCAAAACTGTTAATTATCAGCATGGAATGACATTGCAACACTGAAGTAGAAAGCACCTACCTTGCACGACATCAATAATCAAGCCTGGGCTCTGGAAGGAATGGAAGTACAACATATCCCCCAGTGAGCCATCAGTTAAACCTGGACAAAAGACTGGAATGTTGTTCTGGAAAATATACAACAATTATATTGAATCATATTGGAAAAGTATTACATGACACTAATTTTTTGGCAGTAAATGCACTGCAGCTTAAGTAGCATTATATAAGATTAAACTCAAATTTTGTATAGATTGCAGACTTACATTCATGATATTCTATGTCTTAGCACTGCAACCTAAATGCCCCACAAGCAGGGGTGTTGATACTAATCAGGATACCAGCAGCAAATGCCACCACCTAAAACATTTGGTTTCCAAAGAGAATTTATGAACTTAATTTTCCCCCTTAAATTGAACTTTTGTAACATATAGTGGTTGGCTTCCTTCAAAAGACAGTTCTGTAACATGTAAGGGGTTATGGATTACTTTCAGACATGTTTGCAGCAGAATGTTCACTAAACTAAACTTGCTATCAACATTGTACCTGACAGACTCAAACATTGGAAGTGCTCATTTGTTCATAGTTAAGCAAGTATATATTAACAAAATTTAGCGACTCTCTTTTCACATTGTGGAGTGAAAGGTTTTCACTTTCATGGATTGACAATTTTGAATTGCTTGAGAAGTCAAAATTCCTGACCTATAAGTTTTAGATTCTTAGATATACAAGATGTGTGTCAAAAGAGATCATAAGCAAGGAAGAAATCAAAGGTTCTGAAGCATAACTCCTATTATGAAAAATTCATAAAACTAAAACTTGAAGTACAGAACAAATGTGGTTAAGTGAAAGATGTTCAAAAATTATTAATAAGAACAATAATAACTATGGTTGATCATGAAGATAAGAGTTGATCAATGTGCCATGATAAAAAACGACAGTGGCCAAAGTATTAAGCTAAACTTGCTGAAATACTTGCCTTGTATGCCCAGTAAAGGTATGAACTCTCATCATTAATTTCTTTTCCCAGCCGAGCAACGACCTTAGATGGTGTCCAGGATACTTTCTGTGAAACAGAGAGGGAAAGATTAATTGGGTGCAAAAAGAAATAATTAGGTGAGAGGAAGAAAGGAGATGAATAATTTCGAGAAAAACTGAAATTATTCTCTTACTAGACCATTGATGCCTTTTTTTAGTTTTTGTAGTGTGGTAAACTTAAACCTATACATGAAAGGTGATCATGAGCATAAACAAAACCATCAGATAAGTTGTGAATGATATTTGGTAGAGGAACCTCAGTACATTTATAATACAAACCATTTACAGCATGAAGTTACAATCAATAAAAGATACTGTTTGCGTATTTTTATCAGGTATGAATGTGTCATCAATATTCATGTATTTTTTCAGAAACTCAACGGGCCAGAATAGTCGAGACTCCATCAGAATTAGAACAAACATTGTATTTTCCCTTTTCTCTTTTGGTAGAAAGGTACAGTTGAAAGTCAAGTGCTGATATCCAAATATGACAGATTTGATAACCATTAAGACGTGAGATGCTAATATCAAGCAACAACAAAGATGACATGGAGAAATAAACACCCATAGGAGAAAATAATGAAAACAGAAGTACGTGCATAAACAAATGAAAGATAGGAAGGATTACCTCTTCAATTTGTTCTTTCAACATTTGGTCAAAAATTGGAATGATCCAATCCTCAAATTTGCAGTAGTTCTCATTGGGAACCAACAGATTACCAATGCGATTCAATCCTTTTGACCTCAACTGAGCTCCAGGTAGAGAAAAGTCACCTTTGTAAGTGGGTGCAAGGCATTTTATTAGATCTTCTTCGATACCACCCGCAGTTGTGACCACTACATGTACCTGCGATCAAATTAGAAGTCACCCTTCTAAGAATATAATCAAAATCCAAACCAAGAAAACAGGATCATTAAAAAAATGAAACAAAGTGTCGATTTGCAAACATCAATAACCATAAAAGATAATCTTGACAGCATGGTAATAAAAGAACCAAATCACACATAAGCTCAAAACCATTAGCATGATCACAACAATGTGAAAACAATAATCAAGCCTTGCTTCCTTATGTAATTTCAGCACACACAATTCAGCATAAGAAGAATAACTAGCCGCAGTGTGACTCACCATATGGTGCTGAACAAGATACCGAACCGTATCTCTAACCCCAGAAGAAATAAGATTTGAAGTAAAACCCAGAAACACTTTGCATCTAACTGACTCTCTATAAGCCGGGTCCTTCTCCTCGTCGTCACAGTCTTCAGCTATGGCCTCATTAGAAAGCCTCCAGTCTAGCTTCAACCCAATAAAAATATATAATGTTATTTTGAAGCAGGGAAAAAGAAAAAGAAGAAAAAGGGTTTGTTGGAGGAGAAACTTACCATTTGATTAACAACTTCAATGGCGTCACCGAGATTAGAAGCTTGAAAGCCAGTAGAGAGCATAGATTTAAGAAGAAGAGAGTAATTAACACCTTGATTAAAATCATAACCCTGAATTTTAGTGCATCTGCCTTCCAGGGATTCAGACTCTTTGAAAACCGTCGAGTGAACTGACGAAAAAAGATGCTCCTCCATCGCTTTCTTTTTCCAATTAATTTACGAGAAACCAATACCAGTCTCAAAAGGGTTTATGGCTTCCTTTATGCCTCTCTATGTATATGTTGTTAAGGCCTGAGGGGTTTTAGACACGTTTTCTTTTCTTTTTGTGGCTTATTGATCTTCTATTTATTTATAGAAATAATATAAATACAAACAAATCCTACAATATTTACTCTTTCATTTATTTTGTGTCACATTAATTTGTATACAAATCTTTGTAAAATTTATTTGAACATTTAGCATTATTGTATTTATATGTATGATAAAAAAATGAACAAAAAAAATAAATATGATGTGTTTAACCTTTTATATTCACTCTTCATCTTTGTAAGATTTCTGTTGTAGGTCTAAGAGCATCTCCAATGACGCTCTTTATTTTAAAGAGTAAATTTCATATAAATAAAGAGCATTTTTATTTATTTATAAATGTAAAGAACAAATTTTTTATTCAAATCCAATGGACTCTTTAAATTAGACTTAATAAATAGGAGAGAAACTTAATAGGAAAGATAATTAATAATAAAATGCATGAAAACTTGTAATTTATTAAATAAAATTGAGATAAAGAGTGAAATTTGACTCTTTAGATGTAGAGAGTCAAACTCACTCTTTAATTTATATTTAAAGAATAAAGAGTATGTTGGTCTCTTGTTTTTATGGATAAACTCTTTAAGTTATATAAATAGTCATTTGAAGATGCTCTAACATTGTTGATTTATTTAGGATTAATAACATTGACACCCCTTAAGATTTTAATGCTTTCCAAGTGCATAGAAAATGTCATTAGGTTAACAGGTAAACCTACTCAGCTAGTGTCCGTTAAGCCACATTTAACAGACAAAGGTCATTTAGGTAATTTTAATTAAAGATATTGAGACCATAAATTAGAAGTTGAGAAATTATAAAATTTTGAGTATGTTCCATACACGTCTAAGAAATATGTTAAATAAGTTATTTTTGAAATGATTTGTTATTGTTATAGTTGATTAAACTTATATTTCAATGGATATGTTGAAAATGGGTGGTTTAGGCGTAATCTGGGTAGGGTTTCGGTTAACTTTGAAGGATTCAAACAAAAAATTAGCTAAAGGTTGAAGGAGTTTTGGCCGAAACCCATATATTGCTAGATTCGACTGGATTCGACCATTTGGACAGAACTTGTCTTGACCGAATCTGGCCAAATACCTGGGTGTCGGCCAAAACCCGAGTTCTTCATGTATTGTATACTAGCCGACATCATCCGAATTCTTAGGTATTTGACCAGATTCAACCTTTTGGACAAAACCATTCCTGACTGAATTCAGCCAAATCCGAGCGAATACCTTGGTGTCGCCAAAGCTCCAAGTCCTACATATATTGTATACTGGCTGAATCAATCCGAATCTTGGGGATTCAGACGACTTCGGTCAATACTTGACATTGTCTAAATTTTGAGGAAATCTAATCTATGTTTTATTTTGTTATATTTCAGGAAATGAAAGCCTTAACTCGAATTCTTGTAAAGTATGGAAGACGGTCAGAGTCTTAAAATGATGGTTCATACAAGTAGCAACCATCCAAAACAAAAGCACTCCTAATACCTTCACATTTGAAGCATGAAGGCTCATTGCAGTTGTTAGAGCATCTCCAATAGTGTTCTTTATTTTTAAGAGCATCTTTCATATAAATAAAGAGTATCTTTATTAATTTTTAAATATAAAGAACACAATTTTTATTCAAATCCAATAGACTCTTTAAATTTAATGAAGATACTCTTTATTTTTTAAAAAGAGACTTGGAAAGAGAATTAATAAATAAAATGTATAGGAACCTGTAGTTTATTAATTAAAATTAGGATAGAGAGTGAAATTTGACTCTCTAAATGTGGAGAGCCAAACTCACTCTCTAATTTATATTTTAAAAATAAAGAGCTTGTTGGACTGTTGTTTTTATAGATAGACTCTTTATAATAAAGAATTTGGGTCATATAAAGAGTTCTTTGGAGATGCTCTTACATGAAGAATTGCTTATTGAAAACAGTTGATATACGTTGAAGTTGATTGTGAAGTACGTCACTTACGGATATGATGAGCCCGTTGAAATCAACGAGGTTGCATTTTTTATTGACACGTGATTGGAAGAGCCTACCTAATACCTTCCGTTGTATATTACTAGCAAACACATTTATAATATTGAAGGTAATTCAATAATGAATGAAGGGTTGGTAATGAAGTTATTGACCTGTTTGGGGTGACATCGTTTAAATTACCTATGATCGTTTAAGCGATTGTGTATTTGAGAAGGATTATTCTAAGTACAAAGGCAAATTACCCTTGATCATTTAAGCGATATCAGCTCTCGCTTAAGCAATCCTACACAAATAAGTCATGATCGCTTAAGCAATAGCTTACATCGCTTAAGCAACTAAGGCCAATTTTCTTTGTACTTGACTATTCCTTTTCAAATTCAAGATCGCTTAAGCGATGTCAATTCTCGCTTAAACAATCCTGTACAGATAAGCCGTGATCGCTTAAGTGACCAAGGCTAATTTTATTTGTACTTGACATTTCTTTCTCAAATTCAAGAAAATTAGCTTAAGCGATATCATCGCTTGCTTAAGCGATCCTATATTGATAACATCTCAATATTGAATGAAGTTACATGCACAACAACATCTCAATATTGAATTAATTTAGTAGCACAATAACAACTAAATATTGAATGAATTTAGTAGCACAATAAGAACAACAATTAAGTAACTAGAAGCATCCTTACTATCATCTATTCAAAACTTCAAACAAAAAGATATCCAATTGTCAACATAAAAAATTGAAAACAACAAAGCATTCATAACAAGTCCATGAGACAGAAAAGGTAATCTCATAAAGTAATCATCAAAACCATTAAAATTGTTTTATGATTCACTAATAAGTCTTCAACGGTTGGCCTTAACAACTCTCTCGATTTCATCATTCTTCTTGATGGCATAGCTAGAAATATAAGGATATAAAATCAGTTTAATGCACCACAAAAGATTGACATACAACCAAGAGAAACTAGTGAATAAGTAAACGGAATAGCATCTAGCCACTCACCAAAATAGTCAACACCCAAAACAACTTGTCCCATGTCTAATAATAGCCAAGTGCCTATAATTCAAGAAAAAAAATTATTAACCGATATATGAAGGGTTGACAAATTTTAAAAAACATCTGCAAAGTCGCTTAAGCGATCTGGTGTATCGCTTAAGCGATTTGGTATAAATAAACTTGATCGCTTAAGCGATCTGCTGCCATATACCAGACTTATACCAGATCGCTTAAGCGATCCACTAGCTCCAAAATACATTTTCAGTCATCTTCACCTATAATCGGTGCTACCACCCCCAGCTATCCACAATGCAAGAAAATCATCAACAAATCTCACTCCTTTCCACTTGCATTACATCAAACACAACCAAAGAACCTAAACCATTAAATTGAAATCATAACCCAAACACAATCCATCATTAAATCGTTGTAAATAGAAATATAAAATGCATAGAAGAGATACACATACCTGGACGAAATATGAGGAGGAGAAAGAGGCGGATCTTTGGCGAAGAAGATGTTAATGGCGGAGGAAGAAGAAAGTATTAATGGCGGAAGAAGAAGAAAGTATTAATGGTGGAGGAAGAAGAAGATGTAGACGAAGAAGAAAATGCAGAAGAAGAAGATGTAGACGAAGCTTAGAAGAAACAACAACCAGGGGAGGGATGCATTAATGGCAAGAGGAAGAAGAATAAGGTGTTTGGGTTTGTTTGCAAGAATTTTGACTCTTTGGCAATATTATAATTTTTAAAAGATTACACAATACTTAACCTTAATCATAATAAGACTATTTACTTAACATTTTCAAACTACATAGCCTTTTAGTTAGATTTGAACTTAATTTGGCATTTTAATAAAATGCCCCGAATTTTGGTTTGAACTGGTAGATGGTGATTTTAAGGGAAGCGCAGTGTAGTGTAGGCCGTAGAATAGATGGTTGAGAGGTTAATTAAAAATTAGTATTTCCTTAATTTTCATTAGTGACTTGATTAATGGAAATTACCAAATGGATTTTTGATTAATACTTGGTTAATTTTCATTAGTGACTTGACTAATGGATTTTAACTACCCATATATTACAGGATGGAAATTGGCCTGGTGCATCTGTTGCAACGAGATTTTTGAGATTTTATTATATTGCCGCAGAACTTGGCTAGAGTGTGTTTTGCACACTTTAACATGCCAGAAAGATGCAAACAGCACGAATCAATCATTAGTGTTAAATGTATGGAAAACATTGCATCGACGACCAGACCTGTTCAATTATGCTCTATCATTTATCGAATTCGACAATTGATACAAAACCCAGATAGATTTGAACTGAAAGTTTAACATATTCTTGCTGGTGAAGGTAGGCCGCCCGCTACTTCCAAACTATTCCCCACCCAAATGTTTTCAGATAGACAAGAAGGTTATCTAATGAAAATAACCAAGAACCTGACCACCTACATTTCGTCTTTGAGCCTCTTCATGATCCAAAACACCATCCGGAGTTGTTATCACAACATAACCCCACTGCATTGCAAGAAATCAGAAAAAGAAAAAGCGCACAAGATAAGTCCAGGATATAATCTTTTTTTTTTTTTTTTGGAAACATGTTAGGTTTCACAGACACACCCGGTAACACAGCATTTCTTACCAGTAAACCATTCCCCCCTAAACAGGCACTTAAAAGAACTTAAAAGGAGACATCTGAACAAACCTGACGAGTTGGAAGTGTACGTGTTGTGTACTCTTCAATATTTTTCGCCTTGATATCCTGCCTGTAAGTGAGCGCCCGGCAATCTTTAACCCTGCCTAGTAGTTGAACTGTTATCCTCCCCACCCTATGTGGATCATAAACTTGAAAATCCTTGATATATCCTAAAAGGAGAAAAAAGGTCAAGTTAACAAACTATAAGTCACAACAAATTGACCAATAGACTAACTACTTCAAAGCATGTAGG